TGACACGCGTACTTCTGGCCTAGGATCTGTGAGATCACAGTGGGGGTAAATGCAAAATTCACAAGTCACAACCCATCTTCTCGGTCATCAGGTAGAGGGCAACTGGTTTCATAAGGGAGCTGAGACAAAAAACACGGGCCCCGGTCAAAGGAGGGACCCGTCCCGGGAGAAGAACATCGTGCTTGTTCAAGCAGAGGCGCCGCGGCAGAGAGGAAGCCCCTCCGTGAGATGCACTGGCATAGCAGCTGCAGCAACGAGCTGCGCCATGGCAGCGACTGTGAGTATGGCCCAGCACCGGGCAGCCTTTCGTTCTGTGTAACCCGGGTCACACTGAATGGGAACTGACACAACAAGAGCAGCAGGAGAGGAGAGGGCCCGAGAGGAGCAAGGAACCCGCAGCAATCTTACTTCTGCACGTCATCTGGTCCGAGTTGAGGATGTATCCTTGTTTACATCTGCAGACGTAGGAGCCGGGGGTGTTGATGCAGAAGTGCGCGCAGTTATGCTGCAGGACGCTGCACGCGTGCACCGCTGAAAGGCAAGACACGGGACGTTAATCGAACGGTGACCCTCGCTCTGCGTTCATTCCACCAGCACACACTGAGTCAGAGCCTGCCCCGTGGAGGAAGGTCCCTAGGGGGCACAAACAATTTGAACTCAGCTCGTCACTTAGAATGAAGCCCTGGTGGCACAGTGGGTTAAGCGCTGGGCTGCTAACTGCAAGGTTGGTGGTTCCAAACCACCCATTGACCTGAGAGAGAAAGAGAAGGCTGTCTGTTCCCATAGAGACTTACAGCCTCCGGAATCGAGGGAGCAGTTCGACTCTGCCGTCTAGGGTCACTATGAGTCAGAATCTGGTCAGTGGCAGAGGGTGTACCTGTTTCCTTGTGCTATTCTGGGCAGTTATTGTCGGAAATCCAAAGAGGCGATTCTGATCTATACCTTTCACTTGAGCCATCGACTGGACAGCAGTGGGATTCGTTTGGGGTTTAGTCACTTAAAGATTGGTGGTTCTCACCCATCCAGTAGCGCCACAGTAGAAAGTCTAAGAGATCTACATCTGGCGCAATCCCAGCCAAGACAATCCTATGCAGCCCGGCTCCCTTCTGTAATATGTGGATCACCAAGAGTCAGAATGAACTCAATGGCAACTAACAATCATGACTCTGTGGGAGAAAGGGCAGGGCCCGGAGAAGCAAGTCCGTGCCCATCAGGGCCTTGCCAGTCTGTGGAGGGCCAAGCCTGGTCCATATGTGCTTAAAGGGAAATGGTGCTAGGCTTGCATGAGAGCTGAAATGTTGAGCACTGGGTTTGTGGAAGAGGATGTGGAACAAAGGATATCACTGCTGATGCCAGACGGATCTTGGCTGAAAGCAGAGAATGCCAGAAATATGTTTACTGGTGTTTTATTGACTCTGGCATTTGACTGGATGGATCATAATAAATTATGATGACCCATGGGAATCATGATGACATGTGGGGATTCCAGAACACTTCATTGTGCTCATGGACCAGGAGACAATCTTCAGTGCAAGGGAATATTGTACCATTTAAAATCAGAAAAAAAAATGTGCACCCAGGTTGTATCTTTACACCATCCCTGTTTAATCTGTATACTGAGCAAATAATCTGAGAGGCTGGACTATATAAGGAAGAATGTGGAGTCAGAATTAGAAGGCTTATTAACAACCTGAAATATGCAGATGACATGATTTTGCTTGCCGAAATTGAGGATGTCTTAAAGGATTTGCTGATGCAAATCAAGGACTGCAGCCTTGAACAAAGATTGCAGCTCAATGAAAAGGAAGCCCCAATTCTCACAGTCGGACCAATGGGTAGCATCGTGATGAACAGGGGGAAAACTGAAGCTGCCAGGGATTTCATTCTGCTTGGATCTAAGTGGATGCTCAGAGAAGCAGCGGTCCAGAGCTCAAACAATGCCTCGCCTTGGGCAGATGTACTGCACCTGACCCAAGCCAGGACATTTTCACACCTTCCAGATGCATTCACAAGGTGGACCGTGAACACAGATGCCTGAAGATGCATCGATGCACGTGCCTTACGGTGCTGGTGGAGAATATGGAAAGTACTGTGGATGACCAGAAGAACAAACTAAGCTCTTGGAAGACGTACATCCAGACTTCTCCTTAGAATGGAGGATGGCGGGACTTTGTGTCAGTTACTTGGAACATGTCAGGATAGCAGTCCCTAGAAAAGGACATCATGTTGGTGCCCAACTATCAAAAGATAGAGCATCTGGGGTCTTAAAGGCTTGAAGGTAAACAAGCAGCCATCTAGTTCAGAAGCAACAAAGCCCACATGGAAGAAGCACACCAGCTTATGCAATCATGAGGTGTCGAAGGGTTCAGGTATCAGGCATCAAAGAATAAAAAATCATATCCTTGTGAATGAGGTGGAGTGTGGGGTGGGGACTCAAAGCCCATCTGTAGGCAACTGGACACCCCCTTACGGAAGGAAGGGTCACAGGGAGGAGATGAGCCAGTCAGGGTGCAGTGTAGCAATGATGAAACATACAACTTTCCTCTAGTTCCTAAATGATTCCTACTCCCCCACTATCATGATCCCAATTCTACCTTACAAATCTGGCTAGACTAGAGGATGTACACTGGTACAGATAGGAACTGGAAAGACAGGGAATCCAGGGCGGATGATCCCTTCAAGACCAGTGGTGAGAGTGGCGATACTGGGAGGGTGGAGGGAGGGTGGGGTGAAAAGGGGGAACCAATTACAGGGATCTACATATGACCTCCTCCCTGGGGGATGGACAACAGAAACGTGGGTGAAGGGAGACGTCAGACAGTGTAAGATATGACAAACAAAATAATAATTTATAAATTATCAAGGGTTCATGAGGGAGTGGGGAGAGGGGAGGGAGAGGGAAAAATAAGGAGCTGATGCCAGGGGCTTAAGTGGAGAGCAAATGTTTTGAGAATGATGAGGGCAACAAATGTAGAAATGTGCTTTACACAATTGATGCATGTATGGATTGTGATAAGAGTTGTATGAGCCCCTAATAAAAAGATTAAAAAAAAAAAAAAAAAAGAAAAGGACATCGTGCATGGTAAGGTAGAAGAGCAGCTAAAAAACAGGAAGACCGCCCCCCCACGCCCCATGAGATGGATTGGCACAGTGATCGCAATAGGCTCAAAACTAACGATCATGAGAAAGGCCTAGGGCCGGGCACTGTTTTGTTCTGCTATAGATAGAGCTGCTGAGTCGGCACAACCTCCTGGTGCCTAGACGACAACATCACGATGGCTTACAGTTGCTGTCCTTGGCACCGTGCAGTCAGTTCTGACTCGTAGCGGCCCCGTGTACAACAGAACAAAACACTGCCCAGTCCTGTGCCACCCTCACAATTGTTCTTATATTAGAGCCCATCAATGCGGCTACTGGGTCAATCCGCCATGTCAAACATCTTCCTCGTTTGCTGCCACCCTTCTACTTTACTCAAAGCACGGTGTCCTTTTCCAGGGACCGGTCTCTCTGAACATGTCCAAAGAACAGGAAACGAAGTCTCATCATCATTGCCTCTAAGGAGCCCTCTCGTTTGCGGTGGGCGCCCCAAATCCACTTTGAGTCTCCACAGAAATTAGGCCTCCACTGTATTTCCCTGACCATTGACCAGCAATGTTAAGAACCTCGTCTTCAGGCACATTGCAGCCAGTTCAGAGAGGGGACTCCGGCCTTCACCAGCTTGCCTGGGCACGCTCTGGATGGACATTGGGGTGCTGGGGTCACGCATTTATGAGCCATGCCCCAACCAATGTGATTGATGGGCCTCAGAACTAACCCTGTAAACTTTTCCAATCCACAATAAGATACATACAATAAGTATGTATCCAATCATGGTCCCTCTCCCATGTCCATAGTCCAGTCTGCCCCTGTGATGAATCAATCTGCTGCCAATCATGATTGTGCACAATGTCCTCTGTTTACTACGTGGCTGCGAAGCTTCTGGGCACCGTTCTGGCCCCGGGTTGATGTCTCCCTCATCTGGATGACCTGTCTTTGTCTTTGGCCTGCTTACAACTTCATGAAGGGGTCTCTATAAAACGTATTTTCATTTGGGCTCTCTTTTCCTTTATAACAGACTTAACTATATGAAATGGCCCGCACTCAATTACTTTTGATTTGCACGACAGAACTTTCACATCGTTCAACCTCATAAGAACCATTCGGTGGGGCAGGGCGGGGAGGAAGTCAGCTGAGCTCAGAGGGGTATTTTGGCACTTTAATAACAGAAACGGGGTTGGGACAAAAGCTATTGAACAAGGATGTTCATTAAGCAGTCAACAGTTTCTCAGGAACATAAATCCTAAGAAGAATAGAATTCTTAGTATGCAAAAGTACATAACAATTTTGGAAGAAATGAATTCATTCATATAGTTCATGTTTCCATGACCTTTCTCTCTTGATTTAAAATATTCTTGCATTAATTTTTCTGAAATATCCCTGTCTCCACTTTCATACACTTCCGTTCTTGCATAAGTCTGCCCGAAGCTCATAAAAATTCTCATTATTTTTTTAACATGCTAATTTATAACTTTACTCGACATAATGCAGCTTGAACTTATTTAGAAAAAACAACATCAGTATAAACAGAGTACAAGTTATGCAAGTGTTCTCATAAACATATTTTTATGAAGTTAAGATATAAGGGGTTTTCACAGACTAAGAGCAATCCCATTAATCCAGTGCTTAGGAAAGCTTGGTTCCAGGGGAGATGGACGGTATGTCTTAAAGATATGTCTCTTTGCTTCTAAGTAAGAAATACGGAGAGCAATAAATGAACAAGGGAAGTAACACTTCATTTCATAGCAATATAATTTAGAAAGTATTGCTCTGAGTTTATAATTGTGTTTTAACTCCTGTAATGATAAATGATATTAAAGAAATATATTTATTAAATCCAATCAGATATTTTTATATGAAATAAAATGTTTGGGCAGCCCTGGACACTTTCCTTAACCACTTTGCATAAAATGAAGGCAAAAATAGCACCTACCTCACAAAGGCCTTAAGAGTATTAAATTAAGAGATAAAGGCCACAATATTTTTTTAAAGAGGTACTTAAGAGCCTCGGTGGACCTATTGAGCCTGGAGGAAGCTGCACTCCTTGAGGCTATGCCCTGTTGGTTGTTGTTGTTGTTGTTGTTACGTGCCGCTGAGTCAGCTCCCACTCATAGCAGCACCATGCACAACAGAACCTCACACTGCCCGCCCCACGCCATCCCCAAAATGGGCCTTATGTTTGAGCCCGCTGTTGCAGCCACTGTGTCTGTTCATCTCGCTGAGGACTTTGCTCTTTCTCGCTGCCCTTCTACTTTACCAAGCATGGTGTCCTCCTCCAGGGACTGGTCTCTCCTGACACCATGTCTGAAATTCATCAGACGAAGTCTCACCATCCTTGCCTCCAAGGAACATTCTTTTTTGCACTTGTTCCAAGACAGATTGGAAGACATTTAACATATGACTGAGAAAGAGCTTCCTTCTTAAAGTGGAGTCAA